TGTCCATTTCACAAAATTACTTCAATCACATTTTTTTTTAAGTACCCAATGAATCCTCTCTCCCATCAAAATATTGACACATCATTTTATAAGTAATTCATATTTTTGTCATAAATCATATTTTCTATAGATAATAATTTTATAAAATGATGTATAGTTTTATTATTTTATAAATAATAATAACTAATTAAAACAATTAAATATATTTATTATTTAAGATGTAATTTGATAAGTTTAAAAGTATTAATGAAATTTAACATAATTTTAAAAATTAAATAGCATTAAAAATATTAATGAGATATTTAATGAGTTAATGAGTATCTAATCGATAAAGGTAATATTAAGTAGTGAGATATCTAAAATAAGTTAAATATATTAATATCGAATTATGCTACATATCCATAATCAATAGAGATGCTTTAAGGCCAACACTCTTCTGTGATGAGATTTAGGTATGATGTAGGTTGGGGCCGACACTATAACTTTTCTGTTAATGGATACGTTTTGATAACTTTTCTGACTTGATTAGCGTTTTCTCTAAGCTAAATTCCAACTATATATATGTCTTAAACTGATACATCTTGGTTTATCATAACATATACATTAAGAAGCAGTTTTTTTTGCCTCTCGGAAACCCATAATCGCTCTTCTCGTTTCTTCTCGATGGCTCTACCTTTGTATAACCTAGAAGATGATTTGGAGGCCCAAGTAAACATGAAGAATCAGATGAAAGACTTGAATGACATTAAGGAGACAATGAAAGTATTAGCTGATTGTCTTCAACGGATCGAAGCAAAGGTGGATTTGTTGGCGACAAAGGCAGATCGTCTTGGGTGGATCAAAGCAAAGGTGGATAAGTTGGAGATAAAAACTGATCGTCTTTCTTGGATCGAATCAAAGGTGGATATGTTGGCGACAAAGGCTGATTTACAGGCGGTTTTGATCTCACTTGAGGGCAAGCAAGTTCCTGCTAAGGCTGCTTCTAACAGCAAGGGCACATACATCAAATCTTCTTTTGATGGTGATGAGGAACCTGCAAAGAAACTTGCATCAAGTGCCAAACCATCAGACGAAGATCCTGATGAGGAAGATGACAAACCTGCCAAGAAAAATGCTGAAACATATACCAAGAATACTCCTAAAAAGACTGATGGTGGCAGTAGCGGTCCTTGGCCTTATAACAACCAAGATGGTGGCAGTGGAGGTCCTTTGTCTTCTAACTTCCGTGATGGTGGCAGCAGAGGTCCTTGGCCTCATAACAACCGTGATAGTGGCAGTGGAGGTCCTTTGTCTGCTAACTTCCGCGATGGTGGCAATGGAGGTCGTTTGCCTAACTTCCGTGGTGCTGGTAGTGGAGGTCCTTTGTCTTCTAACTTCCGTGATTGTGGCAGTGGAGGTCCTTTGTTTTCTAACTTCGGTGGCAGTGGAGGTCCTTCGTCTTCTAACAACCGTGATGGTGGAAATGGAGGTCCTTGGTCTTATAACAACCGTTGTGGCGGTCGCGGATTTTGTGGCTACTGTTGAGGTATTGATGGCGGAGGAAGAGACAATGCTCGTGGAAGCAGACCTAGTTTTACTCATTCAGCAGAAGACTACCACGAAGCTCTTAGTGTTTTGAAGTTGTGATACAATGCAGCTCTTTCCATTACTTCGTTAAGTTTTTTTTTTTGGTGAGAATGTTATAAAATAATAATCTCAATTTTCAGTACTTTTGGTGTTAAAGAACAAAAAAAAAACAGATTGTTTCCTTCCGAAAAAAGTTCAATTGTAGAAGAAAAAAATGAGGTCGTGAGTATTTGGTAGAGCACATGTAAAAGTCAGAACTAACCAGTCCTTTAATTTCACAATTCCAAAAGAAAACAATTTCATTAGTTATTCATAGAGACAAAAATTGTTGCGGAAGAAACAAAACAAACAAAGCATTCTCAACACTTTAATTCATTGTTCTTTAAATACTCAGGGCTGGACAAATTATCCGTTAAATCCGATTAGATTCGGTATCCGTTTCAATCCGATCCGAAAAATCCAGATATCCGTTTTAAATCAAAGCGAAACAAATAGTAAAATTTAGTATCCGTCTAAACCGAAACAAATTATGAATACTAATTTTAAAAATCCAAATATCCAATCCAATTCGTATATTATTTATATATACATATAATGTGGTAGATTTATAACGTATATTTACATTTTTTTACTTTTAAATATATTTAGCGAATAAATTTATAGTAAAAATAGGTAGATACTAACTTTATTTGAAATATATTTCTTAAATAAAAATAT